TTCCTTCGTCCGTAGGCGAGTGGTTAGGCTCGGGGAGTCCGGCCTTGTCGGGAAAGGGCGTTGCTGTCGCTCGCCTTGGTCTTGATCTTTCATTGTGGTCAGTTCCCAGTACCAGCGAAGTGGCTGTTAACCTGTTGGAACGACGGCAGATTGCAGAATGATTTATTTGAGCATTAGCCGGTTGGCTGATATGTAGAGGCAGGTCGTGTGTCTACACCTTTGCCAGTCCAAATCGGCGACAGTGTAAAAGCAAAGCGGTGTGAAGTAACTTAAGTGACAAAGAAATTTTTAATTTTTATTTTCAAAAATTGACTTTAGAGCAATGGCGATTTAGTGCAGAGCTAACTGGTGGTCGGCATCAAAACCTCTTCTTCTGGCATCATGCCAACAGAACCAAAGCATGGCCTCGCGGCCCGGACACGCGTTCTCGACGCACACAAGGCTGGGCAGGACTGGGCCTTAGTAGCCGATTGCAACGGAATTCCAGCTACACTCGACACGCAGACGGAGCCGTCGCGACTGGGCGATGCTAGACGACTCCATGAGCATGCGGAAGATAAGCTCCTCGCTGTAGCCTGCCTTCTCCAGCATCGTGATGCGCTCCAGCGGCTTGAACCAGCGCACGCGTCTCCGCCGATGTCGTCCTGCGGTTGCCTGCCTGTCCCCCGCCTGTGTTTTCTCCCGCTGATGCTGCGCCGCGTTCACTGAAGTCCTCCACACACATTGCGGGGTTCGAGCCAGCCCCACCGCTGGACCACCGCGTCGAGGCACTGCGCTGCCGCCGATGCCCACGCCGAATTCGTAGACGGTGACGGTGGACCAGCGTACGCTCTTGGTCGCCATGGCTGCTGTGTATGTGGCTGTTGGACTGGGGCGAGGAAGGAATGGAGGTAAGACCCAGAGGGCGTCGGCTGTATGTCGCTCACGCGCTTCTCCCGGGTGGCCACTCACTCGCGCCGCTGCCATGCAAGCACCAGATTTGGTGGATCTGCTCCATCCACTTACAAACACTCAGTGGCTTGCCTTGCGTTGTTTTTCCCAGTCAGCGCTCAGTTCAACATCGTCCGCTTGCCCAGAAAACAGAGCGCCGGATGCAGCTGCTTGAAAACACTGCAGAGCATAGCTTCCATGTATGGATCTGCGCTTGGTTAACAAGATGGCGCGCCACTGTGCGTTGTCAGTGGCGGCGGCGAACCTATGGAGTACGGCACGTAAAGTTTTGCATTACACTAAATCAACTTTGCATGACAGGCTTTTTCTTAAAAAAATAAATTTCAAATTTAAAAAAAATTAATTAGGGGACGTTCCACTTTGCTTTACACTGTCGCCGATTTGGACTGGCAAAGGTGTAGTGTCATCTCGGAAGGTCCCACTGTACCTCGTGCTTCAAGCTGGACGTTCCTCTAACACATCTTTGATGATCACTTTCAGCTCGTTAATGTCGGTGACTCTGGTGTGGTAGAAACTCTCCGCCAACTTGTTATCATCGCACGTTGCCAGGAACTGCTGTACGTGTTCTTTCGCGTCGCGACCACTCTTCTCAAAGTGTAGACAGGCGTTCCGGGCGTAGCCATTCAGCCTGTTTATGCAGTCGCACAGATGTTCGTTACATTCCCGCTTTGCCGAGTAGTAACGTGACAGTGCCGTCTGCGTGAACTGCGAGCAGTAGTAGCGGATGAACGCACCGCTCAACAGCTCCCACTTGTGCTTCGTCTTCTTCGGAAGCTGACGGAACCAATGAATGGCTCCGTCCCGGAGACTAAGCTCAAATGGAATGCACCATTTGTCGGCATCTGTGTGGGTTCCAGTCATTTCATAGACGAACCCACGGAGCCACTGCATACAGTTCTCGCTCTTGTTGCGAGAGCTTGAGAATGGCGTGATGCAATCCAACTGTCGGTGCGATGCCATTTCAATCATCGATGTCGGGTCCACATCGTTCAGCGTCGCCAGCTCATTCATCTGACGCATCAACTCGAGTTGATGATCTTCCTCGTCGAATGTACGCACCAAAATGTCATCAT